CTCCTGTCCTAGGTGTTACCAGAGTGCTAGGCTGTCCCAAGCAGAGATTCGAGGCCCAGAAAGGGTGCCACCTCAGGCAAGGTGCCTCTCCCCTCTGCACTGGGCAGGGAGCCTGTGGAGGAAGGGCAGAGGGTGAGTTTCACAACCTACCCTGCAGCCTTGGCAACCAAAGCCTGCTGGGGTACAAAGGGGAATGGAAGGTGTGGGCAGAAACGGCCTGGAGCCTCCACACGGGGACAGAACGGGCTTCTGGGCCTGTACCAGAGCCTCCCATGGCACTAGGGGTGTGGACTCAGGGTGAGGTATGGAGGAAGAGAGGAGAAAACAGGCAGTGCCAGGGAGGTAAGCCCTGGGACACTGCTGCCCAGGGACCAGATCGAAGGCGCCCAGGGCCTGAGGACCAGATGATTCCCAAGACTGTGCTGGACTAGAGGTAATAGGAAGGACAGTCCACTGGGTCCTCAGAGAGAGACTGCCGCTTCTTGAGCCAGCGTAGGTAGTAGTGCATCTATGTTCCTGAACACATGTATGTGTGTGTGTCTGTCTGTGCCGATGTGCATATGTGTGTGTATCTGTATGCATGTATCTGTCTATCCGTGTGTGTGTGTGTGTGTGTGTGTGTGTGTATGTTCATGCATATGTCTGTCTCTCTGTGTCTTTTTTGTGCATGTATGCAAGTGTATGCATGTGTACATGCATGTGTGAATGTACATATGCCTGCCTATATGCACATATGTGGCTGTGTGTGCATGCATATATATATGTACACGTGTATATTGGGGGGGTGTGTATGTGTGTGTGTGTGTGTGTGTGTGTGTGTGTATGCATGTATGCACATTTGTATGTGTGTTTAACTCTACCCCCACCCCGGAACAGTTTGTTCTCACACTAAGTATATCCCGGGGCCCTGGAACATACCAAGCAACAATTAAAGTTGGGTGTGTTTGGGGTGTAGCCCAGTGGTAGTAGAGGCTGCCTAGCATGTATGCCACCTCAAGTTCCCTCCCCTGCACCCTACAGAGCTTTGGTTGGATAGTTGTGATGGGCTCAGATGAAGTGATACTGGTTTGTGAAGTGTTGTGTCCCAGGCAAGTTCTCAGCCCATAGCTGTACATGTCTCCTCACACCCCCACTACCAGTGAATTTTTTTTGCTGCCCCTGTTCTGTAGAGAGAGAAACCAGGGTCCTGAGCAGAGCCCAGAGGCCCAGCTTGAACAGTAATGAGCAGTATAGTGGGGATGCGGGTCCGACCCCAGGAGGCGGGAGTCAGCCAAGCCACAGCCATACTGCGTGACTTCTCTGCCTCTTCTCCCATCCTTGCCTTCCAGTCTCCACCTTGCAACAGAGGTGTTTGAAGCCGTTGGCTTACTGTTGTAGCCGTGTGCCATGGCTCTGTGCAGCCCTCCCCATCCCAGGAACTGAATCTGTCGCTGCCCTATCCCCACCCCTCCATTCTGCCCTCTCCACCTGCCCCCTGGTGGCTCATAAGCCTCCACAAGCTTAGCAGCCTGCTCCTGTGACCGGCCAGGCTTCTCTGTGGTTTGAGAGTCACCCGGACTTAAAGCTTGTGTCCCAGTACACCAGAGGCCCAGCCCTGGCTGAGTGCTGATCTAATGGACAGAAGGTAGAAATGGCCTCCTCATTATAAATGTCCCTCCCTGACAGGCTTTTAGCAGCCCAGTCAATAGCTTCAGACTAATGTCACTAGTGCCTGGGTCTTCAGTGACACAGCCAGCCCCTGAGGGTGCAGGAGGAGAATGGACTGATGGGACTTCTGCTCTGAGGACCCCACAGGAACTCAGCTCCAGTGGTCAACCCAGCCCTGAAGCTGCAGGCTCTGTGGGAGGTGAGGGTGTGGTATTAGTGGCCTCTTGGCAGCTTGCCTAGGGTTAACCCAAGACCTGACTGACAATTAGCATTTCCTGAGAAACCTGCAGGGCAGAAATGAGGGCCTGGCTCTGGGCCAGGGAACAGAGATAAAGGCCCGGAGCAATCAGGCCTATAGCAAAAGATTCTGTACTGCCATGCCCTTTGACCCAGGAAATGGTACAAGAAAAGGGAAACAATGTAGGAAGGGGGGTCAGGACACAAATTAGAGAAAACTAGAACTCCTCAGAACACAGGAAGCCCACTAGAGATTCATTTCAATTTGTTGGGCAGAGGCCTGGGCTCTAGCCTACCTCATTCCTCTAAGTCCCAATGACTCCGGGAGCGTCCCTCCTCTAGTCTGTGCTTGAGAGAACTGTGATCCATTAGTGATGCCTGCCACAGGTACAGCATTAGAAACCTGGTCTGTAAGCTCACCATTTCTACTCTCTGAAAATGCTTTGAACTTGTAGAACAAATATTTTGGCTAATCCTGGAAGGACCATCTTTTCAGAAATTTTATAGTTCCATTTGTACTGTTTAAGACAAATTCTCATTTCACAGCCCTGGCAGATCTGGGACTTGCTAGGTAGACCAGACTATGTTTAGCCTAGGGACAGTCCTGCCTCTGCCTCCCAAGAGCTGGGATGACAGAAATAAATGCTTTTTGTTTTAATTGTCAAAGATATGGAAAATTGCTTAAAAAAATAACAAAGATAGTGTGGTCACATAACCCCAGCATTTAGGAAGCAGAGTTGAGGATTAAAAGTACAAAACCAGCCTTGGCTACATAACAGGTTGAAAAGCCAGCCTGGGCTACATAACAGGTTGAAAGCCAGCCTGGGCTACAAAAGATCCTATTGCAAAAAAAAAAAAGGAAAAAGTTGATGATATAAGAAGTCTGTGTGTCTCATTATCTGCAACTACAGCTGTTAGTGCATGTTCTTCTGCTTTTTATTCTTGGCTTTGGGATAGAGATGATCGCAGGTGTGGCTGCTGGTGCTCAGCATTTGCTTCAGCTCCCTCCTCCCTGCTGGGCTGTCTCACCTGACCTATGTAGTCCTACAAGGAGGAGATGGTTAGAGTGCCAGCCTGACTCTTGCACATCCTTATTCCTTGGTGGTGGTAAGGTGTGAGCCCAGAGTCTTCAGCATGCTCGGCAGGGGCTCTACCTCTGAGTTAGAGTTCCTACCCTGTTTTCCACTTTGTAAAATTTGGAGACCCACCAAGTTTCCCAGGCTGGCCTTGAACTTGTCATCTTCCTACTTCAGCTTCATGAGCAGCCTGTACCCCGAGCTTGGCTTCATGTTTGTTTTGTCTGGACCATTTGAGAGTAAGTTACACACACAATAACAATTTCCTTAGCATATTTCTTATATAAAGCCAGTAAGTTTAACATTTCAGTATTTCACATGAGACATTGTTTTTTCAAATGTGTCAGATAATGTCGCTAATGTCTAGAGAGAAGCCTGGTGGCATATGCCTGTAGTCCTAACACTCCAGAAGCTGTGACAAGAGGGTTGCTGTGAGTTCAAGCCCATCCTGGTCTACAGAGAGTTCCAGGCTAGCTTGGGCTATAGAATAAGACTGTCTCAAAAAAAAAAAAAAAAAAAAAAAAAAAAAGAAAGAAAGAGAGAGAGAGAAAGAGAGAGAGAGAGAGAGAATCAAAACAATAAAATAATAATTAGACCCAAACAATCAAAGCTAAGCATGATACAGTAGGCCCGTCGTCCTCACCTGCAGTCTCAGAGCTCAGAAGGTAATGGTAAGGAGATCCAGAGATCAAGGTCATCCTTCCTGGCTACCTGAGGAGCCTGAACTAAAAGAAGACATAGTCTCAAAACAACACAAGCTGGGGACAGGACTGGAGAGATGGCTCAGTGGTTAAGAGCACTGGCTGCTCCTCCTGAGGATCCTGGATGATACCCAGGATCCACATGGCGACCCACAGCCATCTAAAACTCCAGTCCCAAAGGATCCAGTGCCCTTTTCTGGCCTCCATGGGTACATGGAGCACAGACAGACATGCAGGCAGAACACCCATACACACAAAATAAACGAAAATTTAAAATAATAATAAAAACAGAAAGGAAAGAGGAAGGAAGGGAGGGAGGGAGAGAACCACCCCCACCCTCGGCACTGGGCTTTTCAAATGCAGTCATCAGAGTTCTGTGTACCAGGTACCAGGCAGGGCGAAACTGCTCACACACTGAACCCATGTCTGAACATCATCCAAGTGGGATCCCTAGGCAGTACATGTACATGTGAGTGACCATCTCACTGTGTCGCCCAGGCTTCCTTTGGATTCCTGGGCCCAAAAGATCCTCCTTCCTCAGCCCCCTAAGTTGCCGAAAAAGCAGGCACATGCCACCAGTGCCTAACTAATATCTGGTTTTATGTTTATTTGAGTCCAGACTGACCTCAACTCTTGAATTTTCTGCCCAGCCTCCCCCGTGCTGGAATCACAGGTGTGTGCCACCTCACCTGTTGATAAGTAGCTCTTCATGCCCATTTCTTTCACTTAGGATAATGCTTTCAAGTTCACTGACAGTGTTCCTTTTTCCAGCTGAATAATATTCCACCACATAACTGTGCCGCACACTGTGCGTTCTGCTCATCACGCAGTGGGCATCGGGTTGCCTCCAATTTTTGGTTGTTGTAGACGGTGCTGCTGTGGATGCTGATGAATGAATTCCCAATGGATCCATGTTTTCGTTTCTCTTGGGGATATGTCTAGGAAGAGAACTGCTGGGTCACATGGTACCTCTTAGCATTTAACTTTGGAGGAACTGCCAGGCCATTAGCAGAAAGGACTGTACCACATTTGTTCCTGCAGCTATGTGGGAAGGAAAATGCCCTTACTGAGCACCTGCTGGGCACTGGGCCAGACCATTCCCATGGTCCTCAGTCCAGCCTGTGAAACACTCATTACATCCTCTGCCATACCAAGGAGGACAGGAAGGTTCAGAAAAGTGAAGTGATTCCCCCAGGGTCACCCAGGGCGTGGGGAGGTATGCCGCCTTAGATCTGCCCCTTACGTTTTCCTACTCTCTCAGTGATGACTGACTGACTAAGTGAAGAACGGGCGTCATCCCTCCAGACTTCTCTCCAATGCCTGTGACACTGTTTTGCAGACGGGAAAGTTGGACCCTCACTACCCCAAGGTCTGCGGGCACAGGGGGAACGTCTTGGACATCAAGTGGAATCCTTTTAATGACTTTGAGATCGCCTCCTGTTCCGAAGATGCCACGGTGAGTGCCAGTGCAGTGCTTACGGGGGCACGGGTGGGGGGGCATGCTGGGAGGAAGATGGCGGACAGGTTCCCAAGCCATCAGTGTCCAGGGCCCAGCTTTATCTCACTGATGGCTTCACAGGGAGGAAGTGAGAGGTGGAGGAGACATCATGGGTGTGTGGGACTTGGGGCCCATGATGCCTCTCTATGGGCCTCAGTTTTCCTCCCATAAAATGGGTGTAATACTTCTGCCCATCTCATGAAGACCCAGTGAGACTCATTTTCTGTGACATGCTGTGAAGGGACCAGAAATATCAGGCCATTCCATGTCACAGTGGATGAATGGGAGGGGCTTATATAAACGTAGACCCCAAAACACCCCAAGAGGCCAAGCCCACCAACACTCTCAAACTCCTAGATTCAAGCGATCCTCCTGCCCCAGCCTCCTGGAGAGCTGAGAGCATAGCCATCTTTGCTGCCCCCAACCTGAGCTCAAATTCCATGCCAGAAGCCCGTGCCTTGTCCCCACGATGTTCAGCATCGTTTATTATCCCTCTGGCACCTGCTTCAAAGATACAGTGGTTGTGACTTAAAAGGCCCAGTCGTGAACAAATAAAGTATGGCGGTCCTGAGACCCAGCTCATCGGGTAAAGGGCTTCCCACCAAGACTGGCAGCCTGAGTTTGATCCCCTCAGGCTCATGTGAAAGGAAAGAACTGACTCCCACAAGTTGTCCTCAGACCTCCATACATACACAGTGGCAAGTGTGCGCCCTAAAACATGCTCAGTGAGTAAATGAAATGTAATCAGATACAGATAAAAGCCACAGTCGCCATTTCTTGTGACCCCACTGTATTCTGACCACATCACACTGACCCCTTCACTCAGTCTTCCCAGCACCCCGACATGGTAGGGCATTTCTCTCATAGAAAAGCTGAGGATCAGAAAGGTACAGCAACTTACCCAAGGTTTGCACAGCACAGGCCCGAGCTGCCTTCAGACTGAGGCCTCTCAGACTTCAGAGCCTGTTCTCTGCCCCCTGACGGTGCCACGTCCCTCAAGAGAAATGACCACGCGCAGCAGAAGTGAGGGACTACCGGAAATGTCAGTGATGCAGGATGCTGAAATAGCTCCTCATTTAGATCAGGGCTGCCTGGCAGCTTAGACAAGAAGAGAAAGAGAAGTCATTATGGAAGGAAGCAGACTAGGAGGCAGGAGAGAAACTGAGGCAGAAAACTCCCAGGGCTGGGTGTGGTGCCCCATACCTGCAGTCCCAGCTCTTAGGAGGCTGAGGCAGGAAGATGTCAAGTTCAAGGCCAGCCCGGGTTGTATAGCAAGAGTGGCCCGAAACAGAAAGTTCCACGTAGGAGATGGCTGAGACACCTAAGTATGAAGGGACTGTCGATCAAGCCTGAGAATGCTGCTGGTCTCTAGCTAGCGGGACTTCTGCAAGACAGGGGTGGGTGAGGCAGCATGGCTGCCTCCTGAGGCCTGCCCTCTCAGGCCCGCTCTGAAGATCCCCTGAAAGATATTTTGGGGGACAGAAATGGAGTGTTTTGTTGTTGTTCTTTAATTTGGGGTGTTTGTTGAGATGGGGTTTCACAACATAGCCCAGGCTGACCTCGAACTTACAATCCTCCCACTGTAGAACCCCCTAGTGCTGAGATCGCAGGTGTGCACCACCACACCCTGCCTGATCTTCCTGAAATGCTTCTGGCCTGCGGCTGTCCCTTCTGGATGCTGGGGGAGGGGCGGGGCAGGATGATGGAGCCCAGGGTTGCAACAGACCTAGTCCATGTAAATGCATCCTTGTAAAGTACTCCCGGCTCCTCCTCCCCAGGAAAGGGTAGGTGCCACCTCCTTCAGGACACACCTCCCCCTCCATCAATAAGCCCAGAACCTGTCTCCCTCCAGCCCCACCCCAGGCTCAGCTCTGTGTGTCCTGCAGATGGAGCAAGTAGAGTTCATGGCCTGATATCAAAACCAAAAGCAGGAAATAAATGTCCCTGAGCTACAAGCAAAGCCTCCTGGGAAACCTGCATGTCTTTGGGATATGATCTGATCACTGAGAACCCAGGAGAATGGAAGGAGCATACACAAGCACTTCCTGAGCTCCGTGCCCCTCGGCTGCTCTCCCGGGGGCTCCTTCCATGGCAGAGACCCTTTACCATGGCAGCCCCCTCCCATCTTCAGTCCACCCTACCTGCTCACCTCAGGTCATGGGGATGGTCAAAGTCCCTGGGGCAGGTTTGAGAATGAAGCCTCCCTTCTGGTCACGGTCAGCCCCGCTTGGTGGCAGACCCTTCGGAGGCTCCAGTGTTCCCTGCACGGGGTGGTGGCGGCAATGGAGAGCCACAACAGGGTCCTTCTGCTGGCCACTACCTGATCCACGGCTGAGGACAGCAGCAGCCCCAGAATGTCCTCGGCTCACACGCCTGCCTGTGTCTCCCCTCCAGATCAAGATCTGGAACATCCCCAAGCAGCTGTTGGCCAGGAACCTCACAACCTACAGGAAAGAACTAGTGGGTCATTCGCGCCGGGTGGGGCTAGTGGAGTGGCACCCCACGGCCGCCAACATCCTCTTCAGCGCTGGCTATGACTACAAGGTGAGTCTGAGGCTCCTGGACAGAGAAAGCCACACACTGGCGCTTGTCTGGAAGCTTCTCTGACACAGCCCTCGGGACTAGAAAGACTCAGGCAAGGTGTTGGCAGCCAACTGCTTCCACAGCTCTCCGTCACCCTTGTCTCTGCCTTCGCAGCCGCGTCCCTGTATGCCCTTGCCTCCTCTCACTTATTTAGACTGAGAAACCTCCTTCATTTGTTGTGACCTCAGGTCAACTAACTACACCTGGTAAGACCTTGTTGCTAAATAAATCCCATTGGAGGTTCTAGGTAGATGAGATAGGGCACACTTCACTCCGTCCACTGCACTTTGCCTCAGGGGCTGGACTGAGCCCACCGGACACTTTCCCATCTCTGCCTAGTGCCCCGAGGCCGTGGGCCTTGGAGATCAGAACAGTTCCCAGCACTGGAGACTAGGCCTGATGCAGCTCGTCTCTGACTTGTATGAGAATGTCTCGTGACTCGCCTTGGGTCTGAGTTTCTTGAGCCCCAGACTGCAGACAGTGGGTTGGTGGGACCATTGCAATTGGTCAATTCTTCCTCTGCTGACTCAATAGATTGAGTCATAACAGATTGGCAGAGGCACCTCAGGAACCTCTCAGATAGATCTAAAAGAGGCAGAAGCTGTTGGAAGGGTCTGGTCAGAAATGCTTGTTTAATCTGTCCATGTGGAGAGTGTGTGCAGCTATGTCTCTGGGGATGCTACTCACACCTTAGGCTGTGGCTCCGGATTCCTTCGGCAGCCCTGGTTATGCACAGAAAGTGGGGTGTGCTGCTCCTGACTGACCCCCACGCCCCAGGTCCTCCCAGCATAAATGTTTTGTTGCTCAGAGGTGGGTGGTTTTCTTCTGCTACCAGACAGCCTGACTCCCAGCATCCCCCTGCTGCTCATACAGCCTTAGCCACGCCCCTCACGCTCAGTGGCCTGGCTGCCAGCTGCACCTTCCCTCCTGGGAATACTGTGTTTCTTGCCGATGCCTGCTGCTTTGTGACTCTGGGGGCTGGGTGGAGTGGCCACCGGTGCTCAGTGCCAGCACTCTGCCGGGCAGGTGATGGTGTGGAACCTGGACACAAAGGACTCTGTAATTGCAAACCCCGTGAGGACAATCACCTGTCACCAAGATGTGATCCTCTCCATGTCCTTCAACACCAATGGCAACCTGCTGGCCACCACCTGTAAGGATCGAAAGATTCGGGTTGTCGAACCCCGACGAGGGATTGTCCTCCAGGTTGGTACTAGGCCACAGCTGGGGCTACTTTAAGAATGAATGACAGCCGGGCAGTGGCACACGCCTTTAATCCCAGCACTCAGGAGGCAGAGCCAGGCGGATCTCTGTAAGTTCGAGGCCAGCCTGGTCTACAGAGCGAGATCCAGGACAGGCGCAAAACTACACAGAGAAACCCTGTCTCGAAAAAACAAACAAACAAAAAAAAGGGGGAAAAAAATGGATGACAGCATTGTCGGCGGCTGGCCTCAGCATCCTGGGGGTGCGGGGGATGTTGAGATTTGCTGTATTCACTCTACAGATGAGAAAACCAAGGCCAGAGAAAGGAAATAACAATGTAGACAGGTGGGGGCTGTGCACCTGTTCTGGCCTCAGAGCTGGCCACAGTGCCTCAGCTCTGTCACTGGCCAGGGGTCAGGAGCCACCTTAGGACAGCCCTTTGTGCTTTCTGAGCCTCTGCTCAGAAGCTGCAATGGACCATTCGTCCTTCCTCACTGAGCTAAATAGGACAATTCAAGTGTCCCCTGTGTCCCTCTGCCTCACTCAGGGCAAGTGATCGCTATGGTTCTCGACAGAGTGGAGGGGTGCTGGGTGTGGTGGTACGTGTTGTAATGGGAGTGGGGGTCCAAGGCCAGCCTGGGCTACATCTTGAGGGCCTGTCTCAAGAAAAGAGTGAAGAGGGCGGAGATTTGCCTCACTGTTCAGAAGCAGCTCTCAATAGAATGGGGAGGTTTCATTGGAAGGAATGGACCCAGGACATCTTCCTGGAAGAGGTGTCCAGTGGCTTCACAGATGATGAAAGGAAACCTTACAGCCAGGGTTGCAGCAGGAGCCAAGTGGGGAGCCAGGAATCCCACCTGCAGCTGGGAGTCCCCTCCCCATAGTCCTGACCACACTTCTCCTTCCAGGAAGCCAGCTACAAGGGGCACCGGGCCAACAAGGTGCTGTTCCTAGGGAGTCTCAAGAAGCTGCTCTCCACGGGTACCTCCCGATGGAACAACCGGCAGATGGCCCTGTGGGACCAGGTGAGGCTCCACCCACCCCCGCCTCACTCTGCAGCCTGGCACAGCTTCCCTCCACCCATCTGGGTACCATCTCATTCAGCCTCACACTCACAGTCAGCAGACAGCAGAGATGGGACAGTCCATCCGGCCAGCTAGCCTTGTGCCTCTCATCATTCAGGACAGAGGTGGGGTCCCAAGGGAGGCTCTGGGGAGGGGACGGCTGGAGAGCAGTAAGTGTGGACAGTGGCCCAGTGTGGGTGGGAGGTGAGCAATGCTGTTCTGTTGGTGTTTTGAAGTGCCAAGAACAGAATGCAGGGCCTCCTACCTGCTAGACAAAGTGATGTCTCCTCCTTCATTTGTTAATAAACTGGAAGGCAGACTTAGCTTGGAGATGAAGGCAGGGGGATTCAGAGTTCAAGGTCATATTTTGCTACATATTAAGTTCAAGTATGGCATGTGAAAGCCCATTCACTGGAGAGGCTTAGGGACAGCGAGTTCAAGGCCAGCCAAAACCATCTCCCAGTTCTCAATTTTGAAAGAGACTTGTAGATGTAGCTCAGTGTTTTCCTAGTATTATGAAGCCCTGGGTTTGATTTTCAATGCCGGAAAAAGAAAGAAAAAAGAATTCAGGTGTAGTAGGTCATTTTTATAATCCCAGGCAGAATTGCTTTGAGTTCAGGGCTAGCATGGGTTACAGGGTGAAACCCTGTCTAAAAAAAAAAAAAAAATTTAAAGACTTGTTAAAGCCAGGTGGTTATAGAGCACGCCTTTAATCCCAGCACTCGGGAGGCAGGGGCAAGCAGATCTCTGAGTTTGAGGCCAGCCTGGTCTACAGAGCTTGTTCTGGGACAGCCAGGGCTACACAGAGAAGCCCTGTCTCAAAACAAAACAAAACAATGACTTTTGTTAAGACAAAATGCTGGCATAGATAAAACGACGGCTTGGCGGCTAAGAGCACTTGTTGCTCTTGCAGAGGACCAAGGTTTGGCTCCTAGCATCTCTGTGGCAGCTCACAGCTCTAACTCCAGTTTCAGAGAGTCTGACGCCCTCTCCTGGCCTCTTGGGCACTGCATGTACATGGTACACAGACTTACGTGCAGGCAAAAGACCCATATTCATAAAATAAAATAAATAAAGCCTTTTTTTTTTTTTTTTTTTTGGTTTTTCGAGACAGGGTTTCTCTGTGTAGCTTTGCGCCTTTCCTGGAACTCGCTTTGGAGACCAGGCTGGCCTCGAACTCACAGAGATCCGCCTGGCTCTGCCTCCCGAGTGCTGGGATTAAAGGCGTGCGCCACCACCGCCCGGCCCAAAGCCTTTTTTAAAGGCTGACAAAGTAGGACGGGCAGTCCAGCCTTTAAAATATCCTTTCCACCAGAGAATAATTCACAGATTGGTCTTGAGAACGAGGAACGAGGACCTTTTTCCAAAACATGTACAGGATACAAAAAAAGCAAGCTTTCTATCTCTTATGCCAACACCCACTCGCTCTGGGACACACTCGGGCCCAGGGCAGCACCACTGGGGATTCTGGGAGTGACCCTCGTGTCCTGATGGTCTCCCTTCCCTTGCAGGACAACCTTTCTGTGCCCCTCACAGAGGAGGACCTGGATGGCTCCTCGGGTGTGTTGTTCCCCTTCTACGACCCGGACACCAGCATACTGTACATTGTGGGGAAGGTCAGCCTGGCCCGGGGGGTTGGGAGGGCAGCCCTCTGGACCCCTGATACGGAAGGCAGAACTATCCTAAGCTTAGCTCTGTGGATGCTCAGAAAACAACCCAGGGTCCTTGGAGGTGCAGGGTGGAGACAGGCACTAGTGGCCAGCCTCTTCCGTGAGAGAATACCCGCCCCTCCCTTCCTAGCTCCTTAGGGCCACCTGAAGCCAGGGCTTTGATGTGACCCCCCCACCTACCTAGCTTATTCCTCACAAATTCCTGATCCAGGTGGTAATTCTCAATAGGGGAGTCTTTGGATTTGAAGCAGAATAGTTCTTCGTGGGTGGGGGTGTCCTATGTCTACAGCCTCTGTTCCCTACTCAGTGTGGCAGTAATGGCACCTCCAAGTGACTCTGTCAGTGAGAAGTGCCCCCAGGGCTAAGAGGCACAGGATGATCTCTGAGGCCAGGCATCCTGACTTCCTCAGTGGTTGTCACATGGGAGTGTTCCCAGGGCTTCTGCACTAGAGGGACATGGGTGGGCTGGGGTTGTTGGTCACGGACTTAGCCTTAGGCTCCCTGGTGTCCCTGTGTGAGATGGGTCCGTCAGCTGTCCACTCTGAAAGTCAGGGTCTTACTACTTGGTCACGGGCGCCGGTGCAACACTGATGGCCGGCCTCTGACCCTCCTGGTTCCCCTCCCCAGGGAGATGGGAACATCCGATACTATGAAGTGAGCACTGAGAAGCCTTACCTGAGCTACCTGACTGAATACCGTTCCTACAACCCACAGAAGGGGATTGGTGAGTGGGACTCCAACGCCATGGAGGGCCATGGAGGGTCAGGGCACCAGGGCTGGGCCTTGGTGCGGGAAGACATTAGACAGGAAGGGGATAGCAAAGGGGCGCTAATGCGTGGGCTGTATCCATCTGTTCTTGATGTCTGTATCCATCTGTTTCCCAGACTGAAGGAGTTATGACAAGCAAGGCATGCTGGGGCTCTTGGCTCTGGAAGTCCAAGGGGCTGCATCTGGTGGTACCTCTCGTGTTACCAGATTCCTAAGACAGTGCAAGGCATTTGTCAGAGGGAGGCAAGAGGATCAGGAGTTCAAGGTCATCCTCATCTATAGAACAAGTTTGAGATCATGGCAGGCTTGTGTGGGACCTGTCAAATAAACAAAAGGAAGAAAATAAAAGAAAAAAAAGGAAGAACTGGAGTGGTCATATTAGGAGCATTTAGAAAGCCAGATATAGTGACACGTGTCTATAATCCTAGGCCTGAGTATCAGGGAGTTTATGGCCAGCCTGGAATGTATAATAGCAAGACTCTGTCTCAAAACACCAGCAACCAAATTAGGCTTGGTGTTGTGGTACACATCTGTAATCTGAGCACTCAAGAGAGGGAAGCGGGAGGGTCAGGAGTTCAAGGCCGTTCTCTGCTACATAGCAAGTTTGAGGCCAGCCTTGGCTCCATGGGCTCCTGTCTCAAAAATAAATAAATAAAATAAAATAGAAAATAAGCATTTAGATTCTAGGCCCATGAGGATGGAAGTGGGGACCTTTGAGCAGAGTAGACCATCTTTAGGATCCAGCTAAAATAATTAAACACTGGGGCTGGAGAGACAGCTCAGTGGTTAAGAGCACTGGCTACTTTTCCAGAGGACCCGGGTTCAATTCCCAGTACCTGCAAGGTACCTCACAACTCTCTGTAACTCCAATTCCAAAGGATCTGGCACCCTCACACAGACATGCATACAGGCAAAACACCAATACATATGAAATAAAAATAAAGCTTTTAAAAATTGAAACTTGAAGGTGGAGGCCTGGTTTTGAAATCCTTCAGCTCTGTTTCCCAGCTCAGGGTCACCCGGCCCAGGTGATGTTCGGGAGCTGTTGGCTGAGGGGAGATGACAGGGGAGGACAGTCTCTGATCACAGGTGTGCAGTCTGCCTTTGCCCTTCCCGCTGGGTCTCCGCTCTAATCCAGCCAGGGTTTCTCATCTCTTCTTGGCCATCTGGCCACAGGTATCATGCCAAAGAGAGGTCTCGATGTGTCTTCCTGCGAGATCTACCGCTTCTACAAGCTGATCACAACCAAAAGCCTCATCGAGCCCGTGTCCATGATTGTACCCCGGAGGGTAAGTGTGGTGGGACTGTCTCGGGGGGTACCCACCTAGAAGAACACAGACCCCAGATGTCAGAATCCAAGATCTGAGGCCCATGCTGTGGGGGTATGACTGAGGGTGGCTCCTGCAAGGGAAGGCCCTTCTCAAGGTCAGTAAAACAGCCCTGAAGCCTGAAACACTGGATCTTGTCCGGCTTCTGCCCCTGAGCTACTGTACCTGTGGAGAACCCTTGTTTTCTGGCCCGCTGGGCTCCTCACTCAGCAGGGGTCAGGAGAGCCAGACTCCAAGGCTCAGCACTACCCTCACTGTGCCCATTTCTCCTGCAGTCAGAATCCTACCAAGAGGACATCTACCCACCCACGGCAGCAGCCCAGCCTTCCCTGACAGCCCGAGAGTGGCTCAGTGGAATGAACGGAGGTGAGGGAGGCGGGGAACAGGCCACTAGGTAGGAAAATGAGTCCCAGAGGTCCCAAATAGCTGAGGGGTTTGGCCTGGATTTTTATTTGGCTGTGCCCTAGAGGAGAGGCCCTTGTCAGCCAGCTCCCAGTAATTGTTTATATATAATGCCAAGATATATATACATATATATACATATATATATATATGAAATATATATTCATATATTCCACCTAGTCCCTAAACTACTCCTGATCAAAACATGTCACTCCATAGAAAAACTGCCATTGTGACTATGCAAAGTATCTGGGTGGCCCATCCACACTCCTCCCCACCCTCACCATTTCCTCTGTGGTTATTCTGTGACCCAGGATTCTCTAGGCAGCAGACCACTGCCTGACTCAACTCTGTCCCAATCCTGCGCAGGCTCCCTCCACACCTCCATACCTCCACCGCACCCCCACTTCACTACATGTATCCCCAGAGCATGGGAGGCCTCCTACTACAGTGCCGCTTCCCAGTTATGTGTGACCCTTAGGCAGCTCCTGTATGCGCACACACACACACACACACACACACACACACACACACACACACACACCATCTCCTCTCTGTGTCTGCAAGACTTTCCTGAAGATGTCAGAAAAAATATTGTGCTTAATAGATGGCAGAGGACACTGTGGGTGGGCCTCTCCTTACAAAGCAAAGGCAAGGCCAGGCAGAGCAGCAGCTCATGCCCTCGGGAGAGCTGAGGCAAGTTCATGGCCACCTGGAACTACAGAGTAAGACCCTGCCTAGCAGGGAGAGAACAAGGACAAGCAAGTTTCATTTGAGGAGCTCAGGCACCCAGATGCCCCTCCACTGTATGTACTATGCTGTTCCTACATGCTAGCTTCCCTTCCCCACACGTGGGCTACACATGTTGGTACCGCCCTGGCATCTGCAGTGGTATGTCTCTAAGTGCCTGCCTGTGTCCATGCCCTCCCCAAGCCCATCTACTCATGGCCGCTCATCCCTCTTCATAGCCTTCTCCTTCCCTTCCAGAGCCCATCATGATGTCCCTTAGACCCGGCTCCGAGCTGCTGGACTCCCAGCCACTGCCTCCAGAGAGACTCCTCTCTAATTCTGTGGTCCAAGCTTCCCCCAGACCCTTGGAACCCATGGCACAGCTGGCCACCAATGATGGCCAGACACCTTGCTCTCGGCTGGAAGAAAAGGCACCAAAGTGGGCCACGGAGCAGAAGCTGGGGAAGTCCTGGCTCACCAATGGCTTTGATGTTTTTGAATGCCCCCCACCAAAGACAGAAAATGAGGTGGGAGGGGAGAGAGGCCCGCATGGGATGGGAGAGAGCATGGTGGGCTGGGAGGGGAAGAGGACAGAAGGGTGGCCTGCTGGACTGGCTACTTGACCTGGACCTTAACTCACTTGGCAAATTGAGTCACCTCACGGGCTCTGAGCAGCAGCCGTATACCAAGATGATGGATGTGCATACAGTGGTGAGGACAGTCTGTGAAATGCCAAAGCTATGACTTGGTGCCGTTATGGCCCTGGTACCGGCACCCTGGGATTTTGAGACCTGATTTTAGAACCAGTACATATTTAGCATCTGCCATATACCAGGCTGGTATAATAGTTACTTTCATAGGCTGTGGACAGAATGCTAATGGGACCATTTCGGCTTCGGTTTCCCACCGCCAGAGGAGGTACTAACATTGCCACTCTCAGAGATGTCACAGACATTTTGGGGGAAATAACAGAGACCCTCAGGGGGTGCCCAGCATCTAATGGCTGTTTGGTGCAGGGGTAACAATTATGGTAAGGGGTTAGTTTTCACTTCCCAATGGAGAACACTGACTCTTAGGGCGGGTGAGGTAACCTGTTTGTATTAGCAACTTTTTGTTGTTGCTGCTGTGACAAAATACTTGACGGAGGCCATTTACATGCAGTTTGTTTGGGCTCCCAGGTCCAGGGCACAGCCTATCATGGTGAGGGAACCACGACAGCTTAGGGCAGGAGCTCAGGGCAGCGGCTCACACTACATCCACAGTCAGGACGCAGAGAGATGAATGCTGATTGCTAGGCTCACTTTCTCCCTGTTCAGTCCAGGACCCCAGCCTGTGGGATAATGCCGCCCCCAGTTAGGGTGGGTCTTCCTCTCTGTTAACCCAATCTAGAAACTCCATGGGTGATTCTAGACCCTGCCGAGTTATTCATATTAATCACACAGTCCAGTGGTGGTGAAAACCCACATTTCCATACCCTTGGGGCCCAGATACCCTTTGCTCTACCCCTCGGGGGACCTGGGAAGGAGAGATAGGACACAAATACATCTGAACTTCATTTATTGGGTAAAGTGAGCAAGGCTTTTGTGACAGAGCCGAGCTATGACTGTCCCTTGATAATTTAACCACTCCCAAGTCAAAAAATCGATTGCGGCCTAGCCTTTGGGCGGTTGCCCATCCTGGCCACCCAGGTGACCTTGACCTCTGTCCTGTGCTTCCTCAGCTGCTGCAGATGTTCTACCGGCAACAGGAGGAGATCCGGAGGCTCCGGGAGCTGTTGATGCAGAGAGAGGTTCAGACCAAGCAGCTGGAACTGGAGATCAAAAACCTGCGGATGGGCTTAGGACATTTCTGAGCAGAGGTCTCCGCCACCCTTGCCCTCAGGGACATCACTAGGCTCTGTGGGGAGGTCCAGACCAAACCATAGGTCCCCGAGAAAAACCACTATTTCTATATTTTATACCAGAAAACAAAATTCTCAGTCGCTGAAAGAGATCCCAGTGGGACACGGTGCGCTTCCCTGTTGCCTTCTCACTGCGCAGTGGTTTCTGCCCTGACTGGTTTAGATTGCACCCTGCCTTCTGCTGAATTTCTGGTTTTAAGGGTTGGTGAGGCGCTCTGACCTCCCAGAGGGGAAAAGCTTGGTAGAAACATCTGGAAGGACTAGATAGGTCAACCTGCCTGTGGTTTGCAACTCTGGTCATGGAGTAGGGGGTGGTTTTGGTCCATGGTCTCATTCTGACAGATGTTCCCCATCTCCATCAGCCCACTTTGGAATATGTACTTTGACTGCTAAATTATCTTTTAGAAGTTTGAAAACTACTGTCTGGATTAATTCCCTCATTCTGTAGGTGAGGAAGCTGAGGCCCAGAGAGAGAGACACGTAAGATCTGTTTCCTGGCAGGGCTGGACTGAGGTCCTGTCCTTCTGGGTCCCCACAGTAGGAATCCACTGCTCTCTGACCTCAGCTATGTCTGGACTTCCCTGGTGACCTCTTGCCAAGTACTTCTCTCTCTGGTCTCAGTTTTTCCATCTGAACAAGGAGGAAGTTCCAGTGAGCTGCCCACTCTGTGACTTGCCACCAAATACTTGATTTTGACCATGCCTGTGGGTGGATGACCTGGGCTTAATGAAGAAACTCACGCTGGTGCAGGGGCTCAGTCTGAGAGGAGTGAGTGAAGATGTGGCCCAATTCTAAACCACAGACAGGTGGCCACACCCATCCTTCCAACCAGAATCAGCCAGATGGGGGTAGGGGGTAGATAGTTCCACAGCGAGGGGGGGGGGGGGACACGGACACACACGACACCAACCTGTGTCCATGTCTGTTGATTCCAGAGCCTGCCTCCTCCAGGGGGGCAGATGGAAACTTCCATCCAGGTTATCCAAAGGCCTCTGAGAAGTGGGGCTGTTGGGGGCCCGGGAGGTGGGGCAGCATGGGATGTAGCCAAGCCCTGTGGCCACCCACCAGGAAGGGCTCTGGTTGACTGCACTAGGTGAGAATGTGGGAGCAGACAGCATCTGGTCTGAAAGCCTGTGCCCCTCCCTGTGTGTCCTGTGCCCTGTTCTGAGGCTCCCTCTTTCGTGATGGTCAGGACAGCACCCCAGCTGGTGCCTGAGAAGAGTTTGGGACAAACCTTACTTCCGAAGCTTTCCAGACACACACACACACACCCGCTCCCCTCTGGACAGGTGATGTTTTCCCCATCCCACAGGGTCGCTCTGGAGCTCAAGTGGGATTTGCAGGAGCCGCCCAGATGAACAGACTTCAACCCGTTGTATCTATTAGCATCCCTCTAGCTGGACATACGATGACCAGACCCACCCCACTGATACTAACTTCAGTGGAAAGTGTGGCCCTCTGGACAAGCTGCCCAGGTGACTTCAGTACAATGGGGATGGAGACGCTTTGGGCTGGTCTTCTGCATGAGTAGGACAGTCCCAAGACTCCCACATGGCCCTGTCCCTCACCATCCTGGCTGTCTGCACACGCCAGAGTCCTGTGCTCCATGCATCCATCATCACTAGACTGGGCCTCTATCCCTGACGGTGAACCAGCTGTGCTGGCCTTACTTGTGCTCCTGAGAAAATGGCTAAGTCCCAGTTGTTGATGGGAACTGGAGCTCCTGGACTGGGGCTCTCTCCTTGCCTTTGTGACTAGTAGTATATCACAGTTTGTACAGCTCCCAACCCCACCTCCAATCCCATGTTCAGAAAGCAGGACAGCCTCAGAGTGAAGAAACCAGTCCAAAGCTACCACCTATGTGTGGCTGAGGGTGAGATCCACAGAGCTTTCCATCATGTCTCTGTACAATCCCTCCCACCCTCACCCCAAGAAAAGCTCTCCCTACTGTAAGGGACCTAGACCCAGACCTCATATTCTAGAACAGGTCACAGGTGGCTATGAACAAATTTATTTGTTGTTTTTTCTGTGTTTTCTTTTTTTTTTTTACATCTAGAATAAATTATTTAAATTATTTCATAGCAAGGGAGAGGGATAGGTAATTTTTATCAGATATTTTTTTAAAGTCATCTTTTTTTTTAAGATTATGTGTTTATGTTCTTGAGTTGATGGAACAACAGTGCCCACGAAGGCAGTGTCCACCCAGTGGCAGGGCAGGCCCTCATCTCCTTATTTCATGCCTTGGGAGCTTCCTTTCTGTTGACTCAGGAACTTAGTGTGGATGAGGAGAGCGCTTGGAGATGAGCAATTGGCGGGTACCCACCTTAGCTCTAGAATAATTCTGCTTCCTGGAACAAAACTTGAGGGCGTGCCCTAGAGGAAAACAGGAAGTGAGAAATCTATGCTTTTCATATGAAACCGTGCCTGAAGCCGTTTGAATGATTGTTTTAATGTTTCTTAAATTCCTTGTACCTTTGTAAAAAAAAAATTAAATAAAAGTAAAAATAGATGCAGAATTGTGCAATGGAAGAATATAACAATCAACACTGGGTGGTAATTCCCCCGCTGTAATCCGAGCGCTTGGAAGGCTGAGGCAGAAGGATTGAATTTCAGTCCAGCCTGGACAAAGAGTGTGAGACCCTGCCTCAACCAAAATAATAATAAAATACCAACTTGATATTGTGATGCATGGAGATTTCCTTTTGTTAATTTGTCCTACAAGTACCGATTTAGCACCCGGTATTTGGACCAGGTACCCCTGCTGACAAAGTGGCGGGTAAGGTCCTAATACCCTTAAAGTGTATTCAGTCGTGGTTAAGAGAAAGTGGGGGACAGAATGGGGCATTGTGGTCAGGCTGCTCTGGAAAAGCGAAGCATCCTGAAGAAGAAGATAAGCCAAAACTCCGAAGTGGGTGGGTGGCAGTGAACAGCCGCTATGCCCCAAGCAGAGAACTGCAAGTTCCCTCGTCTGGAAACAAAGGGTGGACCACCCACCCACCAGGGCGGGAGGGATCGGAGCATCTTCAGAATGTTAGCTTGGAGCTTCTTGAGGTTTCCGAAAAATCTGTTCCAAACTCACGAGGCTGACCCCAGGGAAGGAGCGCTACAGAAAAAGGGGAAAAGTGGGAGTGTGGGAAATGCGGGCCCCTCAGGGCAGGCCACACCTATCAGGCTCCTCCACTCCAGCAGTTTGCCGAACACCCCTAGACCAGTATCACCAAGTGGGGAGCCCACCTTCTACCAGTTAGCCCATCCAAGCGAGCCCCCGCGTTCCTGTCTGTGGTGGCCGCCTCCCCTACGGGGCGGGAGAGTGGAAGGGTGCTGTGCGGCAGATCCAGCACTAGGCGGAACCAAGCATCGCTCCCCAGCGGGTCATCACCCTCCCTACCTCCAACCCCCCTCCAGCCCGTCCCTGGGAGTTGAGTCGCCAGCCCCGCCCCGAGCAAGGTTTCGATTCTCGCAGCAACCCCATCCGGCTACACTGCAAGAGAGGGCCGCGGTTGCCACTGCAAATGGAGAGCGGGGCAGCCGGCGCGCCGGTGCCGGTCCAGCCCAACGGGGCTTGCGGCTGGCGCTGCCCTGAGCACAGCGAACGCCTGGCTGAGCTCTTCTGTCACCGCTGCGGCCGTTGCGTGTGCACGCTGTGCCCGGTGCTGGGTGCCCACCGCGGCCACCCGGTGGGCCTGGCCCAGGAGGAGGCTGCGCGCGTGCAGGTGGGGAGATGCGGGGCGTTCACCGCAGGTCTGGGCGGGCGGAGATTGAGCATAGGAAGTAACAGCAGAAATAACGGACGAAGGAGCGCCAGCCCAGGTCTCACTGCCAAACCACGTTAGGATCTGGAAACTTAAGGGGGCCCTGAGGTCCCCTAGGTGGTAGACATAGGGTTGGGAGGCAGAACCCCGTGAAAGGGCAAAGGTAGCCCAAGCCACCAGTGAAGCTTCAGAAGATTGGTTGGGGGTACTGAGAGGCTCAGGCTGGTCCTCAGATGTCTTTTATGATTTCTGGTAGGGCCGCTCCCTGATGTTGCCGCCCGCTTAAAGAAAACCTGAGATTTAGCGAACACAGCGGAGGGCTTAGGGTCCCCGCCTAACACCCCGCACCAGGGAGGGTGAGGCAGGGAGACTGAAAGTTTTAAGGCCAGCCTGTGCTACACAGCGAGACTATGTCAAAAGACCGGATTGAAGCTGTGCGTGTAGAAAAAACAGTATGAGTGTGCTTCATGAAGCCTAGAAACGTCTCTGGACAGTGGAGTTCATAAAACGCCATTCTCAACTAGGGCCTGTACTGTTTTGCAAACTCCATAAGGCGGACTTCCTGCCTTGAATCCGGCTCCTCCTTCTATGCAGACACACCACTGGCCCCCTCTAGCAGGCATTATCACAGTCTTTGGGTTATCTGTAGATAACCAATGAGCAGGACCCCACCAGGCAGGCCTGGCTCTTCAGAACCGGAAGGCAGGCTAGGCAGAACCTTCTGTCTCCACAAAGCTGGTTTTATTATTTCTATCTCCAAGAGGTCTTTTAAACTCTGCCCGGCTCACCATCCTTCTTCTCTCCCTTGACTTCACCAACAAGCCTGCAACTCTAAGATGAAATCAGGCCTGTAGGAGGACAGTTTGATTAGTGGAGTCCTGGGCTCATAAGAAATGCCCCTGCTTCCAGAACCTTCCTTTTGGTACCTGTGAATGACTGTAATAATGATCCTCAGATACTGCTGCTTTGAAATCCAAGGCTATTTTCTAGAGATGTGGCCCAAGCATCTCTCTCCCTCAGTTGTCCGTCCGTCTGGGAGTTCATCTTTCCAAAGCGTCCACATATCCCTCACTCAATCCTCTACCCGTTTACAGAGCCATTCATTCATCAGATGCCCGTTTAGCACAATGCCTTGTCATAGGTCAGATCCTTCCCGTACCTGAATGGTCAGGGGAGAACGGAAATAATGCCATGTGATAAATACCCTAGTAGGGAGCCCAAGGTGGTGGTCAGTGAGGGCCAGAACAAAAGATGGAACTTGAGGCAGGAAGTCAAGGAAGCCTCCCCCCCGGGGAAGCACCACTGAAGGGTAAGTAAGGTTTCCTGGGGTCCCAAGACGAATTCCTGTGGCTGGAAGTGGACGGTTCAAACCAGAAGGCTGGGGTATCCTTGGGCCACCGTGGGCAGTAGGTGGCTTAGGTGTCACAGTAGATGAGCAGGACCCCCTTCCCTGCCCCCAGCTCCCTCTTCCAGTAAAGTCATTCGCCACTGCAGCAAAGGCTTGTTGGATGTTAAAGTGGAAAAAAAAAAAAAACAACGACCTGTACGGAGCGTGTGCTGTTGGCCGGGCACTAGGATCTCACGTAGTCTCCACAGCCTCGCTGGCTGTGTGCACAAGGCCACAGAGAGAAAGGGACTCTGCAAATCGTCCTCTGACCTCCACATGCAGGCTGTGGCGCCAGTGCCCCTGCCTCCACCCTGTAGATAAACAAAACGTGATAAGAAAAAGATAATAAAGGGGAAAGCAAGGATGAGAGCTTGAGAGTGACAGTTCTGCTTTCTCTCCTGCCGCCATCGCCACCGCCACCGCCACCGTCACCGCCACCGCAGAAACTCATCCAGGACTGTGTAGAGTGTTTGGCAACCAAGAAGCAGCAGCATGCTGACAGCATAGCCCACTTAGAAGACGCTGGGGAAAGGCTCAAGGCAAGTGCGCCCGGCTCCCCTTCTCCGTGCAGATGTGTTCCCCCAGAATTTGGTAACCCTAGTGTGGAGCTCCAGAAAAACAAGGGCTGACCTCAAAGCCGGTGTCAGAGTTGGTGGGGTTTGGGGGCACCTACAAGGGGTTCTCTCTGAAAGAATGCAAAATTAGGAATTTCAGTACACGATCAAGAAGGAAGCGTGTGTGCAGGTGAGTGGCCCTGAAGGTCTGTTTTAGCAGCTTTGCGGAGACTCAACCTCTGCCCCACAGCTCCCCAAGCAGCAGACCAGCATCTTCACTTCCACCAATGCCAGGGCTCAATCTTTCCTCAGCAAGACCAGAGGAACTGGCCCGCCACCCTCCCATTCCCCAGTTGCCTTAAGGAAAGCAGAATATCTCCCAGAACAGGCAAACAATTCTTAAGGGTTTTGGCTGTGAGAAATAGAGTCAAAGTATAGTCCATAGATACACACTCTTGAGCCCTACCTCTTTATACAATGGTATTTATCTACTTACATATTTACTTGTTTGTTTTTTGCTTTTTTGAGACAGGGTGTCTCTGTGTAGCCCTGGCTGTTCTGGAACTCACTCTGTAAACCAGGCTGGCCTTGAACTCAGAGATCTGCCTGCCTCTGCCTCCTGAGTGCTGGGATTAAAGGGTATGCCACCACAGCCTGCCACAATGTTATTTCTTTCTTTTACTGTGGTACTGCAGTTTGAACCCAGGGCCACGCACATGCAAGGCAAGTGTTTTTCCACCTAGCTATACATTTCTAGACTTCTCTTTACTTTATTTGAGGGGCAGGATGTGTCTGAAAATGTAAATCTTTTATTAAAATTGGAGTCTCTGCAAAGTCTCTTTTAAAAAAGCATTTTATTATTGGCATATATGAATTATACATGATGATGGGCTTCCTACATTTTCAGACACGTGTACGTATTTTGATCATATTCACCCCATTTCCCTCCCCTGTCCCTCTCCCACTGATTCCCAACTAGAGATCCTCTGTGTGTATGTGGGTACCAATGAGTTTAATTGGGGTTACATAAAAGAACATGAGTGATGAATTATTTACAGGAGCATGGGAAACATTTCTGTTTTGAGACAGGGTCTTATTAAGCTAATCAAACTGGCCTTGAATTTACTTCATCTTAGGCTGACCTTGAACTTGTGAGCCTCCTGCCTTAACCTCCTGAGTACTGGAGATTACAGACCTTAACCACAAGGATCAGCTGATTGACTGATTGATTGATTGATTGACTGACTGAGACAGGGTCTCCACTACATAGGCCAGGATTACTTCAAGCTCACAGTCCTCCACCCTCAGCCTTCTCAGTTGCTAGGATAACAGGTATGCACCACCGCCACCACACTAGAGTGTGGAATTGGCTCCCCAGTTGCTAACATCCTTCATTGGTCAGGGTGCCACATGTCCTGGTGTTCTGGGGATCTTCACAGGTCACATCGGTGGCTCTAGCTTAATTATTAGTAGTGACCCTCCCTCAAGTCTTCAAGAGCAGGACTGGCCGGGCATGATGTCACCATGCCATCCCAGCATTTTGAAGACAGGTGCAGCCCAAGTTTGAGGCCAGCCTGATCTACTACTGAGTAGCAAGGCTGAATAGCAAAACTATGTCTCAAAAAAAAGGAGGGGCCAGTAAGAAGGCTCAGACTTGCTGCCCAAGTCTGACAAACTGAGTTCAAGCCCCAGATCCCACAGAAGGAGGGAACAGACTGCTGAAAGTTGCCCTCTGGCATCCACACGCACATGTCCTCACATACAACACATACATATAATAACAGTAAATGAAACAGAAGTTTAAAAAAAGCAAGTCTCGGCCGGGCGGTGGTGGCGCATGCCTTTAATCCCAGCACTCGGGAGGCAGAGGCAGGCGGATCTCTATGAGTTCGAGGCCAGCCTGGTCTACAGAGCGAGATCCAGAAAAGGTGCAAAGCTACACAGAGAAAACCTGTCTCAAAAAAACAAAACAAACAAACAAACAAAAAAGCAAGTCTCTGGGCTCAAGAAGATAAGTCAGTTTAAAAGGACCTGGCAAGTGAACACAAGAAAGTGTCCCCAGGCAACCAGCGCGCAGGAGCGTCACAGGGAGCAGAGAAGCGAGTGTCAGCAACTCTTAAACATTTTACTTCAAAACAATTCTAGAGACACAGGAAGCCGCAAAGATCCTATGGAGAAATGTCCCGTTCCTTCTCTTAGGTGTCTGAGGGTTATTTCTATGACACATATCTGTCCTTCAGGGCCAAGCATAGGATCTGATAGTGTCTGTGTCAGCCCAGCACGTGAGGTCTACGTGCAGAGCGATACTTTTATTATTATTATTATTTATGTGCATTTGTGTGTGTCTGTGAACCATGTGTCTACATGGTTAGGATTAATAGCTGATAATAGATCTTGGATAATTGATGACCCCGATTTACAAAATTATTTGGGCTCTTTAGCTGGGTGTGGAAGCTCATGCCTGTAATCCCAGAACTCAAGATACTGAAACAGGAGGTTTGGTGCAAGTTTGAAGACAGCCTGAGCTACATGGTATGTTGTAGGACAGCCTGAGCTACATGGTATGTTGTAGGACAGCCTGAGCTACATGGTATGTTGTAGCCTGGCCATACAATGTGGGATGATTCTGTCTCTGGAAGAAAGGAAAAAAAAAATCCAGGCACTTATAATTCTGCAACATGGGAGTCTGAGACCCAAGGATCACAAGTTCAAGGCTAGCTTGAATGACATTATTTCCATGGTGTTAAGTCTCCATATCCATGACCATGGGATGTCCCTTGGTTTATTTAGGCTCTTTTCTTTTATCAGTGTCTATAGTATCTGACATATTCAACACATAGTAGTCGAACTCTGTATGTTTTTAATTTATTTTATTTTGGTTCCTTCGAGACAGCATTTCTCTGTGTAGTGTTTGGTGCCTGTCCTGGATCTCGATCTGTAGACCAGGCTGGCCTCGAACTCACAGAGATTCACCTATCTCTGCCTCCCAAGTGCTGGGCTTAAAGGCGTGTGCCGCCGCCGCCGCCGCCGCCGCCGCCGCCGCCGCCGCCCAACTTTAATTTATTTTCATTTATGTCTGCCACATGTATTGGGTGCCCACGAAGGCCAGAACAGGGCATTAGAGCACTTGGAGCTGGAATTACAGGTGGTTGTGAGCTGCCCAATATGGGCGCTAAGATGCAAATTCAGGACCTGTGCAAGAGCAGCACTCTACCGCTGAGCTACCTCCCAGCTTTTTACACTGAGACAGGGCACAAGCGCCCTGTTGAACACTGGCGGGCGTCATCTGCGGCAGATAGGACTACTCTGGATTTAGAGGTCTGAGGACAGCTTTCTCTAGTTTGGAAACTAACCCACGGGACTTTGTAAACAGATCAATAAAGTTCAGATATGGTCCAAAGTCTATGCAGAAGCCGGTGACCCAGCCCATCACCACTCCTTTCCAGGGGACAGTCAAAGTGTTGGTTATCGATTGCCAGCCCCCCCACACCCTCTAAGGTTGTGTGCTTCCCTGCCTAGGCTCTTCAGGGGTCAGGGCATTCATGTGGCAGGGGTAACCTGGTTAGATGCAGCCCTAGATGTCTCCTCGTACTAGTACTGGACATGGACAACACAACACTGTTCTCTCTGAATCACCCACATTTTGTGCAGGGAAGTTCATTTGTTTGGGGATAGGATTTTACCAGCCTGTCTCCCAGGTTACCCTTGTGTGTATGTGTACACATGTGTTCATGCAGGTGAGTGTGTATATGTGTGTACGTGATCAAGGGGCCAGAGGTCAACTTCAGGTGTCTTTAAAAAAAAATTTATTTATCGTGTATACAGTATTCTATCTGCATACCAGAAGAGGGCATCAGATCTCATTATAGATGGTTGTAAGCCACCATGTGGTTGTTGAGAATTGAACTCAGGACCTCAAGTGTCTTCCTCAGTCACTCTCCTTAGTTTTTCAGACAGGCTTTCCCACTGAACCCAGAACTCCTGGCTTCAGCTGGGGTGACTGGCCTTCGAGTGCCAGAGTTCCAGTGGTCTGCCTGCCTCCACCTCCCCAGGACTGGGATTACAGGTGCCACCTGCCATTCCCAGCTTTTGAAAAAATTCATTTTTATTTTATGAGTGTTTTGCCTTCATGCACGTAGGTACACCACATGTCTGCAGTGACCATGGAGGCCAGAGGAGGGCGCTGGATCTCCTGGAAATGGAGTTACAGACTACTATGAGCCACCATGTGGACGCTGGGAACCAAACCCAGGTCCTCTGCAAGAGCAACCAGTGCCCTTAACTGCTGCTGAGTCGTCTCTCCAGCTTTTTATGGTGGTCCTGGGAACCTAACTCAGGTCTTCACGCTTGAGCAGCAAGGATTTAATCCACTGGGCCATCTCCCCAGACCCTCTGCTTTATTTCTTTGTTTAAGCGGTTTTTTATTACGTGTGATTGGTGTGTGTGTAAAAGTACGTGTGAGCATGCCTGCCGCAGCTCACATATGGAGGTCAGAGGTCAGCTTTCAGGCATTGGGTCTCTCTTTCCACCGTGCAGGTCCCAAGGATTGTACTGAGGTGACAGGCTTGGTGACCACCAGCCCTCATTTAGCCTTTTGTTGTTGTTGTTTTGCTTTTTGCTTTTTTGTTTGTTTGCTTGTTTTTTTTTTTTTTCAACACAGGGTTTCTCTGTGTAGTCCTGGCTGTCTTGGAACTCGCTCTGTAGACCAGGCTGGTCTCGAACTCAGAGATCTGCCTGCCTCTGTCTCCTGAGTGCTGGGTCTAAAGGTGTGCACCACCGCTTCTCCGCATGCTTTGATGCTTCCATAAATGAGTGGAAAAGTAGGAGAGAGAGAGTTGGTATGGATGAAGACTGCTGATTGCCTGTTGGAGTGAACACAAGAAGGGATTTAGAGTGTGTGGTTTGTTAGAACTGAAAGGCCCATTAGAGACGCATGTCGAAGCCAGGCAAAATGGTGCGCCCTGTAGTCCAGGACACATGAGGAG